GTCCCAGCTACTTGGGAGGCAGAGGCAGGAGACTCGTTTGAGCTCAGGAGTTGGAGGTTGCTGTGAGCTGTGATAACACAGCACTCTACCCAGGGGGACAGCTTGAGGCTCTGTCTCAAAAATAAATAAATAAATAAATAAGTAAATGAAAATAAAACAGAGATCATAATGGTGCCTTTCTCAGAGTTAATGGGAAGAAAACTACATAATATATGCATAGAGCACATAGTAAGTGCTCAATATCTGTCACCTATTGTCATTTCAGATTTTGGGGATCAGAATCTGGGCTATCTTTTTAAATTATTCATTGTTTATTTATTTGCAGATCATTCAGTAAGTTGATAAACTTTTGATTTCTTGCATGTTTGAAAATGATTTTACTTTCCCCTACTTTATGCTGTTTTGCCTAAGTAAAGGATTTTAGGTTTAGAGAAGATATTGCTATTGAGAAGTCCAAAGGTAATCTAACTTCTGTGTTTTTATGGGTAAAACTTTTTATTTATTTATTTATTTTTTTTGAGACAGAGTCTCACTATGTCATCCTTGGTAGAGTGCTGTGGAGTCACAGCTCACAGCAGCCTCCAACTCTTGGGCTTAAGCGATTCTCTTGCCTCAGCCTCCTGAGTAGCTGGGACTACAAATGCCCGCCACAAGGCCCGGCTTTTTTTTTGTTGCAGTTGTCATTTTTTTACCTGGCCCTGGGCCAGGTTGGAACCCGCCAGCCTCAATGTATGTGGCTGGTGCCTTAAACACTGTTCTACAGACGCTGAGCCTCTGGGTAACACTTCTGTATGAAATCTCTTTACTCCTAGGCTTTGTCTAGGTTTGAATTTTTTTCATTAGTTACTCTTTTTTTTTTTCTGATACAAAGGCTACGTCACCCTCAGTAGAGTGCCCTAGTGTCACAGCTCACAGCAACCTCCAACTCTTGGGCTTAAGTGATTCTCTTGACTCAGCCTCCCAAGTAGCTGGGACTATAGGTGCCCGCCACAATGCCCAGCTATTTTTTGTTGCAGTTGTCATTGTGGTTTATCTGGCCTGGGCGGTTTCGAACCTGTCAGCTTCTGTGTATGTGGCTGGAGACGTAACCACTATGCTACAGGCGCCGAGTTGGCCCTTTTAATCTGAAGACCTATTTTTTTGTTCAAACCTGGACGTTTTGTTCTCTTTAATCCCTCAGCACCATTTTATCAGTTTCTGAAACTTTTGTCACTCAAATGTTGCAATGTCTAGATCCATTTTCCACATCCCGTATTTCCTTTATAATTTATTTTTAGACAGTGTCTTATTTTGTTGCCCTCAGTAGAGTGGTGTAGTGTCCCAGCTCACAGCAACCTCTAACTCTTGGGCTTAAGCGATTCTCTTGCCTCCGCCTCCGGAGTAGCTGGGATACAGGGGCCCGCCATAACGCTCAGCTATTTTTTTTTTTTTTTCATTTGGTTTTAGTTGTCACTGTTGATTTTTTAGCTAGCCCAGGCTGGGTTCGAACCTGGCGCTGTAACCACTGTGCTACGGGCGCCAAGCCATATTTCCTTTTTTTCGTTTGCAAACTCAAGTCTGCCCATTCTACAATAAACCAACCTACAAATTGTGTTATTTTCTATTTTTGGGGATTCCTTAATACTCTTGTCTCATTGATGGAACATCTTGTGCCCTTGGGTTTTTAATTTTTTTCATTATTTTTTAGGCAGAAGACAAGATGGATGTGTATACTGAGGGTCTCTTTTGTTGCCCTGGGTAGAGTGCGGTAGCTTAAGCGATTCTCTTGCCTCAGCCTCCCAAGTAGCTGGCGCCCACCACAACGTCCGGCAACTTTTGTTGTTGTAGTTGTCACTGTTGTTTGGCAGGCCTGGGCCGGATTGGAACCCACCAGCCCCAGTGTATGTGGCTGGCGCCCTAGCTGCTGAGCTACAAGTATTGATCCCCGGGTCTCTTTCTTGAGTCAGCTTTTTTTGGTTTGTCTTGTTTCTTTAATTAGAGTATGAACTTTAAGGTAAAAGTCTTCATAATGTGCTTCCCTATTCTTTAAACTGTTTTCTGGTTTTCAAGGACTTTGTAAATCTGGCTCCACCAAACCAACAAATACATCCTCCTCTTTAGTCCTCTTAGCCACACTCATTTCATTTCTTCTGGGAACTTAAGTTGCGTTTAGCTTCGCAGTAATTCCTTGTAATTCTCTCCAAATAAACCTAGGCCCCACTGGATGGGAATCGCTGCTGATCAGACTTGGGTATCCCTTTTGCCCGGTTAAATAGCCCCCCACAGGTGACTCTGAGTCACACTTTGGGGAAGAACCACGCGGTGCTGCCCGGGACGACTCCACCCCCAGCGCGGGAAGTGAGGGGAGAGGTCCACCGGCCGCAGTGACACGTCCGTCTTCAAACGGCTTTAGTGGAGGTAGGCGCGGGTGATCCCAGAAGGCGGCCCGCGCCTTGTAGGAGCCAGACCCATTGGTCCCGCGGCTAGAAGGGGCCTCAGACCTCACCTGCGAGCCCCGCACTAGTCCGGCCTAACCGTCCCACCAGCCACGTGCTCTCGGGGCGGGAAGGCGGCGCCCCGGACGCGCCAGCGGCACTTCGGGCCCCGGTGCGCAGGCGCGTGGGACCTGCGCGGCTGCACTTGCCCGCGGCTCGCCGGAGGGCGCGTCTGACTCTCCTCAGGCGGCAACGGCAGTGCCGGCGTGTGGGCGATACCCCACAGGAGCGGCGAGGCGGCGCCGGGCGGAAGAGGGGTCCACTACTTGCTGCCCTCCTGCCTTTTCACGTTGGGTTACGGCCGGCCGCGGGGACAGGGCAAGGGCAGCACCCCGCGCCCGCTGGGGCCTCGAGAGACGTTGGAAGCGAGGAAGGGGAGCCCCATCCGGACGAAGTGAGGAGAGAGCGGGCCGAGGCCTTTGGGTGACTGCGGGTAAGAGCGAGCGCGGAGCCTTCCCGTCGGGCTGGGCGAGAGAGGCGCTGAGGGAGCGACTTTCCGTGGGGCCTCTCCTTGGTTGGGTGTGGGCCGTAGCGCCTTCGCCTGGTTTCTAATTCGGGTTCCAGAAAAAGCGACGACAGTCTGTCTTACTGTGTTCGCCCCACACGCTGGCCGGCGGCAGTGATTTCTGAGACACGTGTAGGATAATCGACGCAGGTTAAGGTTTAGGGCTTGGGATGCCCCCCCCCCCGCCATGTGCACCATGTAAGAGGACATGGCACTCCCCGTGGGTGCGGGACACAGCTGCGACAGGGACTTCAGCTAACAAATGCAAACACTGTAACCTAATCGTTTGTACCTTCATGGTAATCTGAAATTTTAAAAGGATTTAGGGGTTTGAATTGTGTGCGGGGCACCCTCACAGTATTCCTTCTGTCTTACCACCTTTAAAACTTTAATCTCAGTTGTTCACGTTCCACTATAGGTCGTTTAAAAAAATCCCCCCCCTCCTCGAGCGGCGCCTGTGGCTCAACGAGTAGGGCACCGGCCCCATATACCAGAGGTGGCGTGTTCGAGCCTGGCCCTGGACAAAACTAAAAAAAAAAAAAAATCCCCCCCCCCCCACGGGCTTGCCTGCTGTTACCTCAGGAGCAATGTTCCTGTCTTAAATCCTGTAGGGTGCGATGTCTGAACAAGAGCGCATACAGGAATGCCTGAGGAAAGAAATAAGGTCGCTTCTCATTTCCACCAAAGATGGTTTGACCCCACAGCAGTTGGAAAAGGAATATCTTTTGATGGTTGGCAGCCATCTACCACTGCGAGTCCTTGGATATCGGTCCACTATGGAGCTGGTGTTGGACATGCCTGATGTTGTTAGTGTCTGCCCCTGCGGGGACGGTACTGTAATATTGAAAGGTAAGTTTAAGAGTTTTGAAGGGCTGTAAACTTTGTAATAAAATGATCACTTAGTAAAGAATGGTTCTAGTTCTGCAGAATCCCAGGGGGAGGATTTTTAATTTGGTATGGGAGGAAACCTTTGAGATTGTGGACAAAGAGCCTTAGCAACATTAAGAAACCATTGCCCAGACAAATGTGCGTTCACAAAACTACATTTTGTGTGTAATTTCAGATTACTGTACCTATTGTTCTGGAGAAACAGAACAGTGGGATTAATTAATTAACAGAAAATGTTTTAAATTCCATGAACCCACCCAAAGAGTTGCATATCATTCAGAAGTTATTTAGTGGTAACGGTGTTATGTGGGTTCTCAGTTCATCAGCAGATAGTGGAGCTAGTCAGCTGTTGCCCAAAATGCAGGAAATGGAGGAACCAGGGGCGTTTATCGGAAGTTAACTTTCTGTATAAGCAGATACAAAGGATAAAGAAGGGAATGAGTTTTTCATATGTGATTTTTTTTTTCCCCACATCTTAGCCATTCCGGATGAATCCACCAAAGGAATAGCAAGTTTAGTTGCAAAACAGAGGAGCAGCCATAAGGTTCGAAACTCCATGCAGAAGGGACGGGCCAGTGTGTGTTCTGGGCCAACCTCTCGTCGGAGAGTACCTTACCGAGGAAGGGTTCCCCCTATTCTTCCTGCTGTTGTGAAGAGTGAATTGAAGGACCTGTTAGCGTTATCTCCTGTTCTCCTTTCTGATTTTGAAAGAGCATTTTCCAGGCGATTTGGGCGATCATTCCAATATATGCAATATGGATTCCTCTCTATGTTTGAAGTGCTGAATGCAGCTTCTGATGTCATTTCTGTAGAGCAGACCAGAGCAGGTTCTTTGTTGACCCTAAAGAAGAGTGTAGTAGAGGACAAGCAGAGAGGATGGTCAGCAGGTAAGCATGTTAGTAATAATAATTGTACTGTGTATCCACCTATTGTTGGAGCAGTCTGGAACATATAGCGGTGTGTATTGGCTAAGCTCTGTGACTTTGTTAAAATAGAAACCTGACTCTGACTTATGTACTGCCTGAGAAGGCAAGTTACTTAATCCAGGCCTTAGTTTCCTTAATCCCTAAAATAGAAATAATACTTGCCTCTTGGGGTTGTGCTGACCTTAGGAGATGAAGTCTATATTAGCTTAATATAAAAAAACTGAGTGTTCTTTCCTTAATTTTTGCTTCTAAGTTGAAGGCCATGAATGCACAGTAAACTTTATATATGACCACCAGAAAATAGGCTAGAAATTGCTAGTGACAATTTTTCTTTCTTCTGTTATTCACAAAAGGTAAAATTTTTACCCAGCCATTTAGAATGAAACAAGGGTCATACTCCACAGGCTCCCCGGTAGCAAAGGCACGATTTTCACAACCTACTTCAAACATGGAACCACCAAAGCAAATACTGAACATGGAAAAGACTTCCAAGTTAAATGGAAGTGGAGTAGTGGAGACTTCCAGACTGAATCACACTGAAAAATTAAGCCAGGTAAGATATTTGAGTTTAGGGATGGAAATATACCTAAAATATTTTAAGTTCTGTGGTGGTATATCACTTAGACTTGATGGAAAAGCTGATCTTCTAAAAATTGAAGTCATTATTTCATTTTTGTCTAAGCATTTCCTACAGTTCTGTGAATTAGTAAGAAGAGGTGGGAAAGAGAGAAGCGTACAGTTATATCAACTCTGTGGTTTCTAGCTATCTTCAGATGACTCCCAAATATGTATCTCTAGTTCCAGCTAATCACCAAAGTTAAAGAAGCATATTTACAACTTACCTCATGAATATCTTCACTTGAATGGCTGACCTTTTGGGTTGTTTCCTTTATTAGTAAAGGCTCACACAGGATTTTGAGCATCACAATCCTGGTATTTTTCTGTAACTATAATGCTGAAGTACTTTGACTAAGAACTAATAAAATATAACCAATAAAACGGCCTGTTAAAATTCCCGTTTAACTTAAATAGAGCTCAGAATGAGCACGTGAAAATTAAGTTCAAGATATACAAGTGTCTTATTTCTATAACTTAAAATTTCCATATACATTTAATTTGATATTAATGTTTCAGTAACATACATACTTTACATATAGTAAAATTTACCCATTTTAAATGTACATTTGAGTTTTGACTAATAACTAGTCATGTAATCACCATCAAAAAAATACAGAACATTTCTGTTATCCCTACAAAAGTTCTTCATGCCACTTTATTTTTTTTTTTTTATTTTTTTATTTTTTTGAGACAGAGCCTCAAGCTGTCCCCCTGGGTAGAGTGCTGTGGCATCACAGCTCACAGCAGCCTCCAACTCCTGGGCTCAAGCGAGTCTCCTGCCTCAGCCTCCCAAGTAGCTGGGACCACAGGCACCCACCACAACTCCCGACTATTTTTTGGTTGCAGCCGTCATTGTTGTTTGGCGGCCCGGGCTGGATTCGAACCTGCCACCTGTGGCTGGCACCTTAGCCACTTGAGCCACAGGCGCCAAGCCTAAAACCTATTTTTAAGAGATGTTTTGGGATCACAGGAAAATTTAGCAAAAAATGGGTAACCTCCCCCACTGTTGACCACAGTGGTACAGTAGTTGCAAATGATTAACCTACATTAACACATCATTATCACCCAAAGTCCATAGTTTAACTCATTTCATTTTAGCACTGATTAACATTCCATTGTCTGGAGGTATCACAGTTTATCCATTCACCAAAGGATATCTTCAATGCTTGCAAGTTTTGGTAGTTATGAGAAAAACTGCGTATGCATAAACATCTGTGGTAGATTTTCATGTGGACATAGTTTTTAAATCACAAGTACCAACGAGCACAGTTGCTGAATTGTATGATAAGAATATGTTTACTTTTGTAAGAAACTCCCAAACTCTGTTCCAAAGCAGTGGTACCATTTTGCAGCCTCACTAGTGATGAATGAGTCTTTCTGTTGGTTCACGTTGCTTGTTAACATTTGGTATTGGCAGCATTTTGGATTTAAGTAGTAGTATCTTCTTGACAATTTTAATTTGTAATTCCCTAATGGCATATGATAGCATTTTCTATGAATGTCTTTTCTATGTTTACTTGCCATGAGTACAGCTTCTTTGGGGAGGTGCTTGTTCAGGTCATTTGTTCATTTTTAAATTGGATTATTTTCTTATTATTGAGTTTTATGAATTCTTTGTATATTTGGGTCAAGTCCATTACCTGATGCGTCTTTCACAGATATTTTCTATAAGTCTGTGCCTTCTCTTTGACATTGTCTTTCATACAGGAGTAATTAATCTTAGTGAAATCTACTTTATTTCTATATCTATAGCAATTATTGCTTTCATAGGTAATGCCTTTCCTGATGTATCTAAAAAGTCATCACCATATCTAAGGTCATCTAGGTGTTCTATGTTGTTTTTAGTTCTAAGTGTTTTATAGCTGTAAATTTTACATGTAGGTCTATGATGCATTTTGAATTAGTGATTGTGGTTTTTTTCTTGCAAGTGGATATCCAGTTGTTCCAAAATCATTTGTTGAAAAAAGAGTATCTTTGATTCATTGTTTGTCTTTTGTTCCTTTATCAAAGTTCAACTATTTATGTGAGTATAAAGCTGAGCTCTCTAGTCTATTCCTCTGATCTCATTTGTCTATTCTTCCCTGAGAACCACACTATCTTGGTTACTTTAGCTTTTTAGTCTTGAAGTTGAGTAGAGTCAGTCCTTTGACTTTGTTCTTCAATATTGTGTTGGATATTCTGGGTCTCTTGCCTCTCGATATAAACCTTAAAATCTGTTTGTTGATAACTACAAAATAACTTCCTGGGATTTTGATTGGGATTCAATTGAATCTGTACATTTATGTTAGGAAAAACTGATATCTTGACAATATTGAGTCTTATTGAGGCTCTTGACAATATTGAGCCTTATCCATGAACATGGACTATTTATCCATTTATTTCTGCTTTGTGTTCTTTCATCAGAATTTTGTGGTTTCCTTTATATAGATTTTGTACTTTGTTAGATTAATGCCTAAGTATTTTATTTTGCAGAGTATTCATGTAAATCATATTAGGTTTTTAATTTCAAATTATATATGTTTATTACCAGTGTATAATAAAGTGACTACTGTATTTTAACCTTGTATCTTGCAGCCTTGCCTTAATTGCTTATTGGTTCTGGGAGGTTTTTGTATTCTTCTCAATTTTCTACATAGATGATTATATTACCTGTGAATAAAGACAGTTTTGTTTCTTCCTTCCAAATATGTGTATATTTTATTTCTTTTTGTTTTCTTATTGCATTGGCTAGGACTTCAGCTAGATATGGAGAAGCAGTAATGAGAGGGATCATTCTTGCCTTGTTCCTAATTAAGTATTTTTTTCAGGATTTAAATTTATCTTTCATTTATTAGCCATACAATTTGTTTTATATTTTTAGGGGATGCTTTAGGGTTTTCAGTGCATATTTCTAATTTGCTGCAGTTGACCATCATATAATATTATACCATTTTGTAAATAGTGTAAGAACCTTAGGACAATAAATTTAAATTTTCTCTCTCCCATCTTTGTGTGATATGTTTTAATTCTCATGTTATATGTCTGTTAATACATTTTTTACTTCAAAAGTATTTTTACTTAAATAAAAACATTTATTTTAATAATATTTATTGAAAAAAGTCAATTTTTTATTAAAAGACAGTATCTCACTCCATAACTCAGGCTGAAATGCAGTGGCATGATCATACCCCACTGCAGCCTCAAACTCCTGGGCTCAAGGGATCCTTCCACCTCAGCCTCCCAAGTAGACTACAAGCTTGCTAGGACTACAAGCATGCACCACCATACCTGGATAATTTTTCTTTTAAGAGATGGGTTCTCATCTTGCTGTAGTGCCTAAGCTGGTCTTAAACTCCTTGCTTCAACCAGTTCTCCTGCCTTGACCTCCCAAAGTGCTAGAATACAGGCATGAACCACTGAGCATGACAAAAAGTCAGTTTTTAAAAGATTAAAAATGAAAAAGATAAAACATACTTGCCCATATTTATTATTTTTGATGCTCTTAAATTCTCTGTGTCCAGATTTACCTCTAGTATATTTTTCTTTCTACCTGAAAAATTTTAACATATCTTCTAGGTTAAATCTATTGGTAATGAATATTCTCAATTTATATTTTTCTGAAAGACTTTGTTTTAATTTTTGAAATATGATTTTGCTGAGTATAGAATTCTAGTTTGATAATTCTCCCTCCCTTTTAGCACTTCAGAGATATTATTCCATTGTTTTCTTATCTGCATAGTTTCTGACAAGTATGTAATAATTTTGGGTATAATGTGTTTTCTGTCTGATGCTTATAAGATTTGTGAATTTATGATTGGTTTTCTGCAGTTTGATTCTAGTGTCCCTTGGTATAGATTTATTTCTTTTTCCTGCTTGGGATTCATTAAGTTCTTTATATTATTGAGCTACTTATATATGTGTTTATAATTTTCATGAAATCTGGAAAATTTTTCTTTAAAGACTCTTTTCCTCTTCTAGGGTTACAGTTATTTAAAGCTGCTTGTTATTTTTCTTTTCGTTTTTTTTTTTTTTTTTTGGCTGAATTCAGGGAACTTTATTGATGTTACATGACAAGGTGAGGCTCCCTAGGCCCCTCCGTTCTTTAGGGGGTCTGGTGTGAAAACTGTGTTGAGGGGAGATTCTCAGTGAGGTGGGGGACTGAGTAGGCAGGGGCACCCCAGCAGCTAAGGGCCTTTCTTTTTCTCTCATGCTCTGGCTGGGGCTGGTGGTCTGGGGGTTTTTACTCCTTGGAGGCCATGTGGGCCATAAGATCTACTACCCTGTTGCTATAGCCAAATTCATTTTTTTTTTTTTTTTGAGACAGAGCCTCAAGCTGTCCCCCTGGGCAGAGTGCCGTGGCATTACAGCTCACAGCAACCTCCAACTCCTGGGCTCAAGCGAGTCTCCTGCCTCCACCTCCCAAGTAGCTGGGACTACAGGCGCCCGCCACAACGCCCGGCTATTTTTTGGTTGCAGCCGTCATTGTTGTTTGGCGGGTCCGGGCTGGGGATTCGAACCCGCCACCTTAGGTGTACGTGGCTGGCGCCTTAGCCAGTTGAGCTATAGGCGCCGAGCCTATAGCCAAATTCATTATCACACCAGGCAGTGAGTTTGACAAAGTGGTCATTGAGGGCAATGCCAGCCCCAGCATCAAAGGTGGAAGAAAGGGAGCTATTAAAGTCAGAGGAGATGACTGGGTGCTCAGGGTAACCCAGGATGCCCTTGAGGGGGCCCTCTGATGCCTGCTTTACCACCTTCTTGATATCATCGTATTTGGCAGCCTTCTCCAGATGGCAGATGAGATCCATGACTGACACGTTGGCAGTGGGGACATGGAAGGCCATGCCAGTGAGCTTCCCATTCAACCTAGGGATGACCTTCCCCACAGCCTTGGCTGCACCAATTGAGGCAGGGATGATGTTCTAGAGAGCCCCGCGACTATCATGCCACAGCTTC